AGGTTGGCCATGAACAGGCCTTCGGGGAGAATGATTTGATGGCGCTCAGGCTCCATTCCATCTTCCTCAGGAAATCTCGAAGTCAGAGCCCCTACAACCATGAACCCTCACTGTGCCCTTGTCCTACTTCTGCCACTGGCAAATAAATCTCTATTCCTGGACATGGTAACCTGAGTAGGGCTCCAGTGGTGAGCTCATGCTTGGGAGGGTAGAGATCCTATGAATGACTGTGTGCATGGTGTGGGGGCGGGGGTGGAGGGGAGGTGTTCACCCCACCCCTCGACTTCCAGGCTAGCATAAGGGCCCCCTTCAGCACCCCAGGCCCCCCATGTGGCACCCCCCCACCCACAATCTTACCACCCCCAGCAGAGGAGAAGGGAGACTTAAACCCAGAAGTCTCTCCACCCACACCAGGGAAAGGTTCTCTCAGCCACCAGCGCATCTCCCTTTTCTTGGGCAGACCAAGAGAAGCCAGATCTGCTGGTCAGAGCCAGAAGGGGCAGAAGAAAAGGGGGCTGGAGATGAAGGACGGGGACCTGGGAAAATGGGTCCCATATAATCAACATGCATTAGTAGAGGTATCTTGGTCAGGTGTGGTGGTTCACACCTGTAATCCCAGCATTTTGGGAGGCTGAGGCAGGAGGATCACTAAAACAGGAAGCAAAAGGCAGAGCTGGGCTGAGGAGAGGATCACTTGAGCCTAGGAGTTTAAGACTAGTCTGGGCAACATAGTGAGACTCCATCTCTACAAAAAAAAGTAAAATTAGCAGGATGCAGTGGCATGTGCCTGTGGTCCCAGCTACTTGGGAGGGTTGAGCCCAGGAGGTCCAGGCTACAGTGAAGTGTGATCAAGCCCACTGCACTACAGCCTGGCAATAGAGCAAGATCCTGTCTCAAAAAAAAAAAAGGCCGGGCGGTGGCTCAGCCTGTAATCCCAGCACTTTGGGAGGCCGAGAGGGCGGATCATGAGGTCAGGAGATCGAGGACCATCTTGGCTAACACAGTGAAACCCCGTCTCTACTAAAAAATCACAAAAAACTACCAGGGCGAGGTGGCGGGCGCCTGTACTCCAGCTACTCGGAGAGGCTGAGGCAGGAGAATGGCGCAAACCCAGGAGGTGGAGCTTGCAGTGAGCTGAGATACCGGCACTGCACTCCAGCCCGGGCGACAGCGCGAGACTCCGTCTCAAAAAAAAAAAAAAAAAGAAAAGAAGAGAAAAGAGAAAAGGAGAGAAGAAGAAATATTGACAATATCTTGAATGGGTGCAGTGGCTCAATGCCTGTTAATCCCAAACACGGGTATGGGAGGTCTAAAGTGGAAGATCACTTGAGCCCAGGAGTTGGAGATCATCCTTTGATAACTCTGATCTCTACCAAAAAATTTAAAAATTAGCCAGACAATGGGTGGCTTACGCCTGTGGTACACCAAGCAACTAAGAGAGGCTAGAAGGAGTGGGGAGATTTCTTGAGCCCAGGAGTTTGAGACTGCAGTGAGTGTATGATTACACCACATGCACTCCAGCCATGGAAGGTAGAAAGAGCTGGAGACCCAGTGTCTCTAGATAAAAGATAAAAAGAGAAAAGAGAAAGAAGGTATTGTCGCAGACCAGGGTGGAGAAGGGCATCTTGGAGGGTGATGGAACCTCTTACCCCACACCCTCATCCGTATTATCCCCTCCGATCTACTCCAGTTGTGGTAGGATCTGTTAGGAGGAACGTGTCTTAGAGAAGTTTGGACTGTTGGGTGTGAGGACTGAGCCCCATCTCTGCCTGAAGTTCGCAGAGCACCGAAGACTGGAAGGAGAGAGAGCCCTCTCTGCCTTTTCCATCACAAAGAGGAATTGTCCACCTGCGCGCTTTGACGACATACACCATAGTCCAGGTGTGTATATTTGGAGAGAGCCTTTTTCAGGGTATAGAGGCCATCTAATTAATGGCACAGATGGGTCCCCATTCTTTCTTCATCAACCTCTGGCATTCTATCATCTTCGCTCTCAGGAGAGTCTCAACTGTCGATCTCACTGCTCAGCTATCTTTGCTGCGGCGCCCCCAACCGTAATTTCTAATCGCCATCAACCCATCCAGAGTTACTATGATCTCCCCAAGCTTCACTGCAATGCTGGGTCACGCCTCCATCCCGGGTTTTTCATGTGTGAAACTCCCTTCCTCCGCTTCTTTCCCCGCCAAGCCCCCCGCCCATCGATGTCGCAGCCCACCCAAGGACTTCCGCCTAGCTTCGCACCCTCCTGGCCACCGCGGCAGCGCAATAGGCTGAGAAGCCTGATTTGGCAGGCTGCGCGGGAGCGCGAGGCAGGGCGGGACCAGGCGAGCCTCCTAAATCAAAGTTGGCGGCGGCGAGGACTGGGCGCGAGGGCCCGCCGAGTGCCGGGCTGGGGTCCGGCGGGGGAGGGGAGGGGATGGGGGGCGGGCGCAGAGACGGAGGCGGGAACCGGCGGGACACGGACAGCTCCTTGGCTCACCTACCTCCTCGGGCTCATCCCCGCCAACCCACTTCCCTCCTCCCCCAGCCGCTGCCGAAGCAGCATCCTCTGCAGACCCTCGTCCTCGCGCCCGGGGTGTCCCGCTCCTGCGGTCGGCGTGGTCGCCCGCCTCGCCCGCCACCCCGGGCAACTTTCTCCGCCTGAGGCCCCGCGGGTTTGGGGCGCCGGTGCCCGAGGACCTAACTGGGGCAGCCTCTGGAGAGGGCTTCGGGAGTCCCCGGAAACGCCCCGCCACCCGCAGCGCCGCGCGGGCCTGCCTCGAGATCTCGGCACCCTCGTCCTACCCCCAATCATCCCCCGAACCAATGACCGAGGATGAGCAGAGAGGAGAACGAACCGGATGACAGCGGCCACTCACAAGTCTCCAGAGGGACCGTCTCCGGCCCTCCAGGAAACCAAAGGATAACTATGGGGGAACGCGCAGGCCTGTCCCGCGCCCCGTGGCAGCCCGGACCACGGAGCGCCCTCTTCATGGCGGGGTCTCCTGTGGCCCGGCCGTCCGAGGGTCGCGGTCGCGAGGCCGGAAAAACGTGACCCACTGAGGGCTCTGCGCCGTCCCGGGGAGAGGAGTGGGTTGGCGACGAAGGGCCACGAAGACCCCCAATCACAGCCATGCACCAGCCAGCAACCGCGCGCGCAGCGCCGATCCGTGACCTTCCAGGAGGGCGGCACTGGTCTTCGTTGGAGATGATGGGCGGCAGCCGAGGCCGCGAGGGCGCGACGTGGAGCCGGTGCGGGCGGGGTACGCGCCCGGCTTGTGGCGTGCGAGCGCAACCCACTCCAGGCGCCGCCGAGAGCTTCCCAGTCCCGGACGAAAAAACTACCAAGAGAAGTCACAGCAGCCTCTGTCCAAATAACGACTGGATTGTATCATGAATTGTGTAATCAATCACAACCTTGAAAACGCCAG